AGAGAACCCCCCAAATGGTTTCCAAGCCTGGTGGGAGGCGGGGCACGGGGGGACCCTTGAGTGGAGGTATTCAGGTGATGAAGTGGACGACAAGTGACCCAGATGGAGGGGAGCGTGCGTAAAGAGCCAAGTTAAAGAAGTCAGGTTTTCCTTTTTTTTTTTTTTTTTTGAAATGGCTGCAAACACAGAACGGACCCCTGAGGACCACCTAAATGGGACGAGACAACAAAGAATCCCATCATCCTTATACTGAATAGATCTGTCCATCTATTGCTTTTTTTTTTCTCTCTTCATAATCATCTTCTCATTACACCCTGTAGTATTAATCAGACGCTTGGCAACGCGCGCATTTTAACGCAACACCAATCATGTCAGTCACTCATGTAGCCCCTCAAGCCAAACATAAAGCACGGGACATCCGCCCCCTACTTCCCATTTACCAATCTCTCCCTCCTGTCCATCACCCTCCTTTTTTGGGTGTGAATCCCGAGAGAAGTGTAACCTGTATCACCTCCCGCCTCGCAAACACTGTACACATACGCGTCTCCGAGTGTGTATGGATAACGACCATTAGCATATTCATGATTGTTGCCAGCCTCTTATTGTTTGCTCGCTCCATTAATCTTCATCTGCTGCCTGCCGAATGACAGCTCAATCTAACAGGATGTAAACGGGCACTGGTTATACAAACACGCACACACACACACGCACACACACACACACACACACACACACACACACACACACACACACGCGCACACACATACACACACTACGATTGACATCCACCCATAACCAGCTGTATGGTGTTGCACCTGTGGTCTGTGAGAACCTCCTGGGCCACAAGTGTGCAGGGTTCGAATCTATGTGGACCCCAAAAAATTGTACCAACAAACACACACACCCGCACACCTCAGGTCAACTAGGAATAGAAAACACACATGGGCTGAAGAGGACAAAAAGAATAATGCTGTGCTAAACTGGTTCGGAGTGTGTGTGTGCGTGTGTGCGTGCGTGCGTGCGTGCGTGCGTTGTCGGCGGCTGAGCGCTCTCAAATGTTAATGTGTTTGCTTCAAAGCTGGTGTGACTGACTGATTTGCAGCAGATTACTGGGCAAAATGAGTGCTGGAAGCCAGCCAAGTTCAACAGGAGGTCTGTTCTCACCTCACCCTCCGCCCAACCCCACCACCTTCTTGGGTATCACTCTGCCGCTCCAGGAATTGCATCTAGGGAGACAGGATATACAGGTATCTCTCGTGTGTACGGCTTCCTGGATAAACACTTACTGGTACATGAGAACTGCTGTGTTTAGACTAGCATGTAAAGAAAATTTTGGGGTTGACGTTAAGTAGTAGTTTTGCATTGTGATTTACAACACAATAATGAGCAAGAAAAGTATCGTAAAAATAAGTTCACAAAACAATAAATATATCAAGCAAATTATTGGATTTTTTTTTTTTTTTTTTTTTGTCGAAATCATCCTTTCCCCACTTTGTCTTGATTTGTGACAGACGTAAACAAGGACTTGTGTTGGCAAAAAGTCCCAAGTGTTAAATAATGAAGTGAACTTTGACACCTCATTCGCTGATAAGTAAATGTATTGGAAAATGAAGAGTGCCACCTCGGAGTAGATTTGATGTAGAGAGATAAAACCTCAACAGATTAAAAAGAAAGAACATGCGCAGAACGTTTTCAATGGAAATGCACACTGGAAGCATATCTTGTTGTGATGGCGACACACGAGTGTCCCATTTCATTTTCACTGTGTTTGGCTGTTGCCGTCTTTGTGAGACTGAATGCAAGTCTTTGTAAAATAAAGACTTTTATGAATCAAGCTACTGCGAGGTAAAGCCATATGATGGTTTAAACTGCATCATACAAGCCATAGCGGGTCATAACGTTTCTCCTTCGGCGGCCGTAAAGCTATTTTTGTAGAGGCTCCAAATAAAATATGCCACTATCAGAGATCATAAATGGTTTATTGTGATCTTTCACAGAGCATAGACTTTTATTTAGCACCGGTAAATCATTCCTTTGCAACGTGTTACCAAGATCGGAGACTGTTTTTTTGCGAGTAGAAAAGACGTGCGCTTTATGGGCGGGAATTTAGTACATTTCGATGGTTTACAGGGGCACTAAAATGTGAAATATATAATTTATAAACATTTTGCATTTTAAAAAACAGCTCTTAAAAGATGAGCTGTGAATACAAATAAAGATCAGCTTTTATTTCGGCACATGCCATCATTCAGGTTGTCATTCGGTTAATGTTGTTACACGTCTTCTGTATTGTGAAAGTGACTTTTCGCATATGTTTTGTATTCAGATATTTGGTCAGCATCTACAGCATGCATTTGTTTTCATAATTTTCAAAACACCTCATACAACAAACTAAACTAAACCACACAACACTCTTATCTGCAACACAAGTGTAAAAATATGTTGGAAGACCCCATAAAGTGCATTCAGTGATTCGTTTCTATATACATTCTACACATTTGCTGATTGCTGACAACATACCAAGACTGAAAGAACTCTGAAGTCGGCCTACTCAACTGTCAAGAACTGTTTATCAGCATTCCAGTTTTCCTCAATTTTTTTAGGGTGTGGAGGAAGAAACGCACTTGGGGGTCCATGATGAGTCGGCCCTCCCCACAACAGAAAAAAAGGGAAGCAACTTTTGTTTACACTTTTAGTGCGATTACAATGTGCAGTTACAGTAGCTACCTAGCTTACCTTCGGAAAGTGCACCTGTGGGGGCCTGGGCTGCCGTAACCCCTTTCGAGTGCCCGGATGAGTGTACGCAATTCATGCATGGAGAGAAAGATTGGGGGTGGGGGGAAAATAAAGAAGTTAAACTTGAACACCAGCACATGGGACCGAGCCTTCATGGTGGCATGGCTGCTTTGGAGCGCCACGTTGTCATGATATGGAAAAACCTCGCCAAAGACCCTGTGGGATATAATTCAACGGCTAAAATAGGAGACACAGCCACGGCGGTTAATCGTAGACAGAACGACATGTACATATTTTTTTCTAAACACACCTTGTTTCAAAATCAGCGCCAGTGTATCGTCTTGCGCTAAATGGCTCAGCCGAGTGCTCCACAACAATGCGTACAATGTTCTCAACATGATTTGTGACGTTATTTCCTTTTAATGATTAGGCTCTAACTGGGTTTGTGTTATTTACAGCCAGTTGAAAAACAGAGGCGACGATACAATATTGTAAATTTTCCCTTTAGAAGATGACCTCATTATTAATAATGAAACATGTGTGCTGCTCTAAGCACCTTTGCACTAACTTGCAGGGTGTTTAGTCTTTTCTGGGACATGAGTCCATGACCTGGTTATTAAAGTGGGAGCAAGAATGAATGTAGTAACCCTGTAGTTCTCATCATCATCATCATCATCATCATCTAGCCCATGATTAACTCCCAATCATCACGGGTGATTAAAAGTCAGAATAAAAATACTCTACGCGTAATTAATAGCCCAATACTAACAAGGAGAGCAAGTCCCAGAGTGTCAACACAACAAATACGGAGCTACGAGCCGCACATACGTCTTCTCCTTTCTTCACGGGGAAAACGCCTATTCTGGCCTATCAACCTCACATGCACCCCCACGCCGGATGGTTGGAATTAGAAAAGCAAGCCTGCGGTCTCATTAATTAATTAAACATTCGAGCGAGCGCCGGTGGCACCTAGGTGCTGGTTATCGCTGTCACTCAGACACGCCGTGATCTCGGGAAGAAACTCACCACAGGGCAGTGGGAGGCCAGACGGGCACCCGCGCGCCCTCCCTATCAGCTTCCACTTTCTTCTTCAACATTGTGGACTTACTTTCCAGGGAAAGTTTGTCTACCTAGTATAACATTGTCCCCCCCCCCCCAAGTATAATCATCTCAAAACTGGCCGTTTTAGGGTGAAAACTAAACTTCGCTATTGAAGTAGAAACAAAGTCTGCTTGTCATTCCAAATAGAGATTGCAGCTCAAAACAGGAGAGATGCAGTCGCTTTTTTTTCCTCATCCAAATTGTTTAAATTCAAGACATATCTGGGGGGAAAAAAAAACAATATTAAAAGATGCAAGAATATTGGCACTAATACAAAAATATGACAAAAAAATATTACAATTGAGGAAAGTACACACAATAGAAATACGCCGAACATTACATAACAGAAATAATCTTATATTGTCAACATCAGATCAGTTGACTGGCTTTTTTTTTCGAAATACATTCGCAAACCCTTACACTTCTACTGCATCTTGACACTAAACTGTAGCCGGAAAAAAAAAAAAAAAATCTGTACATAAAGAGACCATAGGGAAAACAATTACTTTGTCAATGTCAGTTCAGCCCACTGGCGTTTCTCAGAAATACATTCGCAATACTGCTTACAATGTGTCTTCACAGTTCACAGTCACATAAAAACAACAATTTGTTGTCAGCTTTAAAATAACCTGTACGGTATATAAAGAGCACATGAGGAAAACAATCGCTTTGGCAACACCAGTTCAGCCCACGGGCGTTTCTCAGAAATATTTTCACAGTACTTAAACTATTTCCTGACACTTTAACGTCATTTCACTGTAACTCAGATAAGAAACTTTGGATGTGTTGTTTTTTTTTTTCTTCGTAATGCATTGCCAAGATATCAGACGCGGCAGATACAAATACTCAAAACAAACATTTGTTCACCTATAACCCACAGTAACACGGCAGAAATACGATACTGAAATATGCAAGGATATCTTATCCTTGTTAGCTAGTTAGAGGCTAATAGCCACTGCTGTGCACTAGCAGACTTTTTTTCACCCCCCCCACCCCCCCAAAAAATTATGGCAGCTTTCTCTGCAGCCTCACTTCGTTATATTGCCACATTGGAAACAGATTATGAAGAAATACACAGGAGGAGGGGACGCAG